TCAACTTCAGCTCCACTGACATTTGAGGCCAGAAAATTCTTCGTTGTAGAGGGCTATCCTGTGCATTGTAGAATATTTAGCAGCATCCCTGGCCTCTACCCACAAGATACCAGTAGTACTATACCCCGCCCCCCACAATTGTGACACCAAAAATGTCTCTAGATGTTGCCAAATATCTCCTGAGGGGGGTCAAAATCACCCCCAGGTAAGTACTACTGCGCTCGCCCGCTCGCGCGCTCTCTCTCTCTCCCCCTCCCTCTACACACACACACACACACACACACACACACACACACACACAGGTAGGGTTCTCTCTCAGCACTCACACCTACTTTCTACTTTATTAGTTTCTACCATAAGGATTTTTAAAACTAAAGTCTCTTTTCCCCAGTTTTCCTTGCAGTGAGTGCCACTTCTTCCTGCCTGGAAGACGGCGGAGAGACTGAATGCAGCGGCTGTATGCAGTGCGGTCATCTTGCCTCCAAAGAACAACTGTGTATCTGAAACCCAAGGGTAGTCCTCTAGAAAGACCAAGTGCCTGGATATCTGATTGTAGCAGGAGCCGTGGCACCAGCTCAGGACCATTAGCCAAGATAAACAGCTATTTGTTTAAGATGGTATTGCCAGGTTTTTCTGTTATTTGTACCAAAAGCATTGATAATTGATACAATTAGAAAAACTAAGCCAAATGAACATTTAGTTTAATGAGTTATAAGCCAACCACTCTTGTAACCATCATCCAGTTCAAGAAATGGAACTTTGCCAGCTCCCTTGGAACTCCATCTCTATGTTCCATCCAAATTTCAAACCCCTTTCTTTATTCAAAAGTAACCACTGATTTTATAGTAATCACTTCCTTGCATTTTCTTATACTTGGATTACCCGATGTATATTCCCTGACATTATCATTTGGTTTTGCCCATTTTAAAATTTATTTTTAAATACTTTTTTTTACATCTCTTTTACTCCATGGGTTCCTCCTCCATTCCCTTCTGTCAGCTCTCTTTTCATAAAGCCCTATTATTTAGTCTTCTCAATACTAAATTTTCTAGTACTGATGTATACAGTTTTTTCATAACTTCTATCATTTAAAAATTTCCTGTAGCGTCTATGGTCATGCCACCCTGGACGTGCCCAATCTCATCTGATCTCAGAAGCTAAGCAGGGTTGGGCCTGGTTAGTACTTGGATGGGAGACCACCTAGGAAGACCAGGTGCTGTAGGCATTAAAATAAATAAATAAATAAGTAAATTTCCTTTAGCTTCTGTTGGAATATTAATAAAGTTTGGTCTGCCTTGGGACCCTATTTTTCTGGTATGACTTCATTATCTGTAATTTTATTATTCAGAAAGATCAACTTCATTTTTTTCTTATGATATGTTTGCATGAAGTTCAACCTCAATTTTTTCTGCTCCTCATATTAAGTGAAGTAGGTCAGGGGTGGAAGGCCCATAATAGATTTCCTAGTTTCATGGCTCTAGGGCTCTCTCTTCTGGTTTTACATTGAAGTGTTAAAAACATGGCCATCTCCCCAACACTGTGAAATCTACTTCCTCTGGTCTCCTCCTTCACTATTACCTGAGTTTTTTTCTTCTTTAACCCCCACCAATCAAGGTTCATGGTCCTAGCAGTTCATTTTTAAGGAGTAACTTCCAGAGAGATCTTCACTGGGTATTTTCTCAGAGCCTTAGGGGCCCAGGTTACTTCAGCAGCCTCACACCTCCTCCATTCTCCTTGCCCTCACCGCCAAATGGAGTCTGTAAAGCCCTTCTCAGTTTTAACTGTTACTATCCGATATGCATATGAAGTTATTTACTCCCAGTGGGGACCCCTCCTTTTTAGTGTGAATACTTGTGGGACATTTCTGGGTTCTCTGACAGTCAAAATAATCAACGGCCTCATCTTCTCCACTTTGCTTCCTCCTACACAGCTGCTGTTCCCATCCCTAAGTCTCACTGCTGCTGGTAGCTGGACCCCACCAGTTGATGGTTGGGGATTCATGGGGATACTCTGCCAGCTAATTGTGTCTGTGTTTTTTCTTTTGCTGCCCTGGCTTTCCATATTTTTGTTAGGGATTAAGGAAGATTTCAAAACTACACTACCCCCATCATGCCTTCCTTTTCAAAACATTTAATTAATTTATTGAGAGTAAACAAAGAATAATTTGAAAAATGTTGACTATATCATGAAGCTGCTCCAGGTAATCATAAATTTAGGCTATAAAATCACTACTCTAAGCTTTCAGACGCTAACCAGGCATTAACAGGGCCAGCAGTTTTAGTTTCTACAGGACATGTCATCTTCATAACACGAAACACAAAGTCAATCTCTTTCCTCCATCCTTAAACCTCTATCAGGTTCCACAACAGGAAAAATCTTTAGGCATTAGGCTAAAAAATAGTTCTTATTTTCTGGATTTTTTAATTACATGAACAATATTTGTGGCTCCTTACATAAAGCTTGTTATGGTTAATTTTATGTGTCAACTTGACTGGGCCATGAGGTGCTCAGATATTTGATTATACATTATCTTGGGTGTGTCTGTGAGGTTCTGGATGATATTGCCATTTGAACCAGTAGAGTGAATAAAGCAGATTACATTCCCCCATGTGGGTGGGACTCATGTAGTTTGTTAAAGGCTTGACTAGAATAAAAAATGCAGAGTAAGGTAGAAGTCTGTCTGCCTGGCTGTCTTTGAGCTGAGACATCAGTCTCTTCCTACTCTTGGACTTGGACTAGAACTACACCATTGGCTTTCCTGGTTCTCAAGACTTTGGACTGCTGATTTTGAGACTTCTCAGTCTCCATAATTACATAAGCCAATTCCTTATAATCTCTCCTTCCCTCACTCTTTCTCCCTCCTCCTCCCCACAAACAGCATACAACTCTGGCAGCCCAGAAGACCTGGGTCCCAGGACTTTATCAGTTGTGGTCCTGGCAAGAAACAGATGGCATCCTCAAATTGAGCAATTTGAGAAGTATTTAATAAAGGGATTACTTATAGAAGCATGGGCAGAGTATGGGAAAGCCACACGGGAGAGGGTAGTAACTGAAGCTGAAAACAGGTAGCTTTTATACCATCCCTAGGCTCAAAGGGTCCAGGGAAGGAGTGATTGCCAGAACCAGGAGCTGGGTGGAGAAGGTCACCTGGCAAAAACTGTGACTTTTGATAAAGGGACACAGCCAGCCCACAGGGACCCTACATCATCACCCTCCTTCTAGTCTCCTACTGGTGTTCCCCCATGGACAAATCCAATGGAAAACCAGAAGGCAAAGGAACCTCCGAAATCTTCCATATAAGTCAGCCTCCTGGCACTAAGAGGACAATGATAAGCATGGCGGGTAAATCTGGAGGGGCAAACAGAAGCATTCAACATAGCCACCAACAGGCTATGAGAACTTAGCACACAGCAAAGTCTAAAGAGTTTAATAAAGTGAGGGTTTGAGCTACATGATTTCCAAAAGCTCTTCTGACTTTTAAACACTATTTTTCTAAAGAACTATAGTAACTAAAGTATAGTTAACTCATTTATCCATGACAATAAAGGCTAACTTGCATAATTAATAACAACAATTAACACACTGCGCTGCTCTGAATTTGGCCACTCTGAATTTCGATTTCCCATTCTTCCTGCCCATCACCTTATAAAACAGGGTGGGAATTCTGCCATGCCCCTCCTGAGCAGGGCTGTGCCCAATCAAGATGAGGAATACAGGTTCTGACACCCGAAAGATGATGGGGAGATGACAGACTGAGTGAGTGGCTTCTAAAGATGGAGAGTAAATAGACTATTCCCCCACAGCAGGACCCTTGAAATCCGATAGCTGTTTCAAACTGAACATGGACCAAAAACTTACAATGAACTGACTGAAGACCACTGGTACAGGTATCTAAAAAGTAGTGGGAAAAATAAAAGAATAACATATAGGTAAAGAAGGAAAACTCAAGAACCTGAATTTGTTCATTCAACTAACTTCTGAATACTTCATCTGCGTCCTAAAGAGCATTTAGCACTTGTGAACACTCAGTACAAAGCGGCAAGTATTATGCACAACACAGACTTGACTCAAGAGCTGTGAGGAGCAAGTAACTGAAGGAATGAGGGAAGAATAATTAGGCAGATGGCAGATTTGAATTAAATTTCGAAGGATAAGTGAGAGACTGACTAGCCTGGGTGATGGCACTAGAGAATCACTCTGACAACACAGATCACAGATTTGAAACCTGTGAGTAGGCCTGATTGACTCGAGGGGTATAAAAGTAACAATTAAAATGAGAAGAGTCACTTCATAATGGCTCACAGGAAGGCATAGTACACATTTTCTCTGGTAGCTGCCTAGGAATGCACTATGGGTTGGAAATTTCATTTTCTTTCCTGAATTGTGGATCCATCTAAAGTAACAGTCTACAAAGATGACACATGGCACCCATGACACATAACCACAGGATGAAGAGGGCTCCTGGTCGCAAAGAAGCTTCCACCATTCCAAATGTATGCTGTCCCCTTCAATGGGAAGACTAAAGACTAGTGTCTCGAGCCAAGTACAGTGTAATCAGGGACAGAGACTTTTATTCTTTCATATCAGTCAATACCATTACATATCCAAATACCAGAATTTTTGTTTGATACACCAGGCACAAGAAGTCAATTGGGTCTTATGGTCTCCTCTAACTCTACATTTAAGTTTTTTATCTCTTGTATGGCCCATGTTTTCAAACAACAGATTTGGAAGCTGGTAAAACACTTTTAATTTTTAAAAAAATTCTACATTTCAGAGAGATTTCCATTAAAAAGCAGTTAATGTTCTGATGTTTAATAAGATTAAACTCTCAATTTTCTAGAATTTTCAATTTATATAAAACCTTTACTGTGCCAATCTTCACAAGCTAAATAAAACTGGTGTATCATGGTAATGTCTTCCATTATTTTCCACCACAGGATGGACACATTAAAGTGAAGTAAATAATTACAAAAATAATCTGGAAAAATAAGCCTTTGTATTCAATTAAATGAAGCAATACTAATAGATCAAAGAACAATATCAGTAATCTTTATGTTACACTAACCTCCCTTTGCTTGTTGGTGGTACTAATAAGCAGTTAGTTAAAAAGTTATAGATGAGTATAGTTAGTAATATATTTTCAGAGAGACTAAACATCTTTCTTAGACTGATGAAGAATCTATTTCTCAATAGACACATGTTTGGAAATAGTCACAGACCTTGTAGTATTAAAATAATAAAGCTACTTTTCAGAGTGCTCTTTAGAACATGCTGGGGTTAAGTAATGACCTGTTATTTATTTAAAAAAAAAAAAAAAACAGGGAAAACAGAGAAATTTGAGTTAGATGTAGATACAGACCAACATTATTAGCAGATGCTATGCTCAATGATTTACATGTTATATCATTTAATATTTACAATAGCCCTAGGAAATAGGTACCATTATTCCTACTTCATAAATGAAGAAATTGACATGGAAGTGATAAAGCATGCCCAGGCCATCCTGTCAGTGACTGGCAGGGCTAGAACTAAAACTTACCTACAACTCCACATCCCATATTCTTTTCACAAATCAGAGTGCTTTAACCAGCAAGTCTTCAATACCAATTTAGAGTGTTTATAATAAAATATGGGTATCATAGAGGTCAATGGTTTTTGGAACATCAAGAATTTTTAGAACCACATAACTGTCTAGAGCTGTGCTAAACAGTTACATGTGGCTATTTAAATTTAAATTACTTAAATATAAAATAAAATTTAAAATTCAGTTCTTCAGTTGCACTATCCCACATTTCAAGTGCTCAAAAGCTACATGTGACTACTTGCTACCATAATGGACTGGGAAGATTACAGAACATTGCTATCATCACACAAAGGTCTTTGGGATAGCACTGACCTAGAGGACCCCCAGGAGGAATGGTGTACAAGGAGGAGAGAATTTTAGTATGTTTAAGTTCATTAGTGCCAGAATGTTAGAGGCCATTGTAGATGTTGAGAAGACCTTTCCATCTCCACTATTAAGATAGAATCAGCTTTTTTTCTGTAAATTCTTTCCCTTAGATGTGCCCTCAATAGTCGGTATTAGAGGAAGGAGTATCTATAACTACTTTATGCAAACTGGGTTCTAACTTGGGGAGGAGAGGTTTTTGTTTTGTTTTGTTTTGTTTTGTTTTATTTATTTGTTCTTGAGCTACAGAGGAGGAAGGACATATAATAAGAATTGGTTTAGCTTTTAAGGATTGGTTCAACTAACACTTGAAAAATACAAGTTAAGAAATTTATGTATAGGAATCACGTCATAGTGTGCAGTCATGTAGGAACATTGCACAAAGGAGTTTGCAAATTAACTTACATGCACTACAGGTACCAGTGGGCATTTCTAAGAAAAGGCATTATTTAAACTAAATGATATGTTTCCAAAAAGAATACAAAAGCACAATATTGGAAAAGAAGATAGTCTAAGTGTAAAAATTATGACCAAATTAGACATTGCCAAATGAAAGACAAAATGAAATACAGGTAGAAGCAACGTAAGTGTCCATTGGCAGATAAAAAAATAAACAAAATGCAATAAATACATAAAGTGAAATGTTATTCAGGTTTAAAAAGGATGGAAATTCTGACACATACTATAACAGGAATGAACCTTGAGGACATTATACTAAGCGAAATAAGCTAGTCATAAAAAATACTGTAGGATTCCACTTATACGAGATATTAGAGTAGTCAAACTCAAAGAGACAGAAAGTAGAATGGTGGTTGCCAAAGACTAATGGGAAGGGGAAATGGGGAGTTGTTTAATGGGTATAGAGTTTCAGTTTTACAAGTTGAAAAAGTTCTAGAGGTTGGTTGGACAACAATGCAAATATACCTACACTGCTAAACTGCACACTTAAAAATGATTAAGAAAATAAATTTTATGTCATTTGGTTTTTTATAATTAATAATAATAATAATAATAATAGTAATAATAAGGAAATGCATGCCATCTAAGTCTGTTAGACCACTTACTGGTCTCTTCCTCAGCCATTCCACATTTAAACTATAGTCTCCCTATTGCAACCAAAGTTCATGATTGCTCTGAACTTTTTAGGATTTAAATAATGGAATGTCATAATGATAAAACCAAATATCCAAATATGCAAATACCTGGGTCAGTGGCAGAGATAATTGCTCCAAAAAAGAGACAATCCGTGTAGTAAAATTTATCCGAGAGTTGTCCTACCATCTTCATGAGCTTCACCACACCATACATGAGATTTCTGTAAGAAGGGAAGGTAAAATATGTCAGAAGAAAAAAAGAAAAGAAAATCCTCCTTAGTGAGTGACCTAGCAAATGCACAAGCAGAGTAGTACTAAAATACTCTACTTCAAGGGAGTCATGAAAATATCAGGCAGCTATTGTGGTTGAATAGTTACTGGGAATATGTGCAATAAGGCTTTGGCACCAAATAATAGTTTGCAATTAATGTAATCTTGCTGAACCATCTGAACATTCCATTTAAAAAAAAAGTTGTGCTTACTTACAACTATAAAGTATGGTCCTCAATTAGCAACAATGACATCTTAAGCAACTGGATAACAGAGAAGAAAGGAAGAGAAAGAACCTTGCATAATGTGTAATAAATTGCTACAAAACTCACAGGATTCTAAGCTGGTGTGTTTAAAATCATGGAAGTTGAGGGGACTGGATGAAGCTGGAGAGAAAAAAAAATGGGTTGCTCACAAACATTCAAATGATCGATCTTCTCTGCCAAGAATTATTTCAAAGAAGGGAAAAGAGGCAAAACTCTCTAAACATCCTATTAAAATATCAGTGTACCCACTACCCACCAACATATCTGGACTCTCATTCCTTGCATAGGTTAGGCAGGCCAGCAGCAGTCCTCCTTATGCTGTGCAGAATGTGATGTGGCCCAAGAGGAACCACCAAGTTTAATATTTGAACTTAGCCAGAGCACATTTCCTACAGTATAGCTTACAGATTAGGAGTGAGGAGTGTTAAAAGGCCTAGTACGTGTTACTTAAGGGTGTGTGTGTGTGTGTGTGTGTGTGTGTGTGTGTGGCAGCAGCACCAGCAGTTGCAGGGGTTAGGGGAATAAAAATAACTACAGAATAGACTCATTGTACCCTATAGCCAGCCCTCTAATAAGATTCTTGATGGCTGGGACCATGTCCTTGTTCACCTTCGTATCCTGTGCATCAAGAGCAGTAGCTTGACTAAGCTAAGAGCTCAAGAACTATTTGCAGAATTGAATCCTTTTGAAAATAAACAGCTATAACTTAATGCTTGCTTACTGTGTACCAGGAACTGTTCCAGACACTTAGATAGTTCTATTTCAATTCACAGTAGCTCTATGACACAGATGCAATTTGTCCTTTGTTGCTTATCAAAGGCTTCTTTCATCTACTTTTTAAATATTTCCTGAAACCATACCTTCCTCTTCATTTCCTTCTACCACAAGCTTAGACTTAGGCAATAGACTTCTCTCTGGCAGCCTTTTCCTCATTTTGCCTCCCATAATCACCAATGCCAGTTATCTAACCTATCACACTTCAATGGCTTGTCTCTCTTAAAGGACAATGTCCAAGCCCCTTCTTTTTTGATGGCATAAAAGGCCCCTACCTTTATTTCAGATTTCCAGCTATTTTTTCTTATGAAAACAATCTCTAATGACAAAAAACAGCAAGTATTCAAAATTCAGAATCATATCAAACAATCAATAAAAAGTACATGAGATATTACAATATAAATTAATAAATAGATGATGTTGAAATTAGAAGTCCAGCTAATTTTTTTAATTAACTAAAGTCTGTACTTTATTCAGATTTCCTTAGTTTTTACTTAATGACCTTTTTCTTTTCCAGGATCCCATCCAGAATACCACATTACATTTACTCATCACATCTCTTTAGTCTCCTCTTGGGTGTGACAGTTTATCCGACTTCTCCTTTGATAAACTTGTCCATTTTGAGGAGAACTAGTCAGGTATTTTGTAGAATGTCTCTTAATTGGGACTTGTCTGATTGCTTTCTCATGATTAGACTGAGGTAATGTGTTTTGGAGAGGAAGACACAGAGGTAAAATGCCATTCTCACCACGAATATCAAGGGTACAGAGTATCAACATGATTTACCACTATTGGTGTTAATCTTGGTTGTGTGGCTAAGCTAGTGTTTGTCAGGTTTCTTCCCTGTAATGTTACTCTTTCTTCTTCTTTTCCATCTGCGTTCTTTGGAAGTCATTCTGCATAGCCCACAACCAATGTGGGGGGGGAGGGGCTAAGGTCCATCTCTTTGAGGGGGAATGTATCTATATAAATTATTTGGAATTATTCTGCACAGGAGATTTGTCATTTCTACCCCCATTTATTTATTCACCCAGTCATTTCTGTGTACCAGTATAGACTCAGATATTTATTTTATACTTTGGGTGATAATCCAATACTATGTTACTTATTTTGTTGTTCTTTGGTCACCAAGGGAGCTTTCAGGTTGACTCTGTATCCTTTTGTCATGCCCCCACATCTTTTCGTTTGTTTGTTTATTTTCTGAGCACTTACTTTTTGGCATTATAAGATGCTCCATTCTCATCTTGCATATTTGCTGTCCCAGCCCTTGAATCAATCATTTCTGCAAAGGGCCCTAGTTCTTATTATTGGAGAATGATATTAGAAACCAAGATCTGGGGACTAGATATAATTTTATTTCATTTTAATTAATCTTAATTTTAATTTAAATAGCCACATATGGCTAATAGCTACCACACTGGACAATGTAGCTCTAGATCTTAACTACTATCATCATAAACATCCAAAAATTGATCTCTGGTGATTCCCAGGGGCTCGGGGGTGGGGAAATGAAGAGATGTTGCTCAAAGGGTACAAATTTCCAGTAATAAGATTAACAAGTTTGGGGATATAATGTACAGCATAGTGATTGTAGCTAATAATGCTTTATCATATACTTGAATGTTGATAAGAGAGAAGGTCTCAAATGTTCTCACCACGAAAAAAAAAAAGAAAGAAATGGCCACTATGTGATAAGATGGAGGTATTAGCTAACACCATGGTGGTAATCATTTTACGATTTATAAATGTATCAAATCAACACATCGTACATCTTAAACTTACATAACCTTATGTGTCAATTATGTTTCAATAAAGCTGGGCGGGGAGGATACTAGACTCTGTGGACCCATGTGGATCTCATCTCTTTGGAAAGTGTGTTAATTAGCTTATATGACAAAGAGTCCCTTACCCGATAATGAAGCAGGAAACAGCAGTCCCCAAGAAGGCATAGGCCAGAATAGACCCAAGGTTTCTGAAAAAGTGTCTCTGAATAAAACAAAAGAAAGCAGGAATCACATTGTGATTGTTGGCAGTAAGCATTAGAAATACATTAACAGTCTCTAAAAAGTGAAACTTTACTTACTTGCTTCTGTTATATCAAATTATAACTGAAGTTATTCCTGAATAATGCTGTTTAGTCTTAAACATCATGGCTTTAAAATATCTTTTGGCTAACCAATCACCAAGCAAGCATGCAAGGGCTTAGTAAATTTCAGACAAAACTGCTCTGGTTGATTACATTAATTACATTAGAGGTGTGTGTGTGTGTGTGTGTGTGTGTGTGTGTGTACATGCATGTGCAAGTAAATCAATCATTTTCATAGATTAACCCAAACCATTCGTTCTAGTGATTCAGCTTCATAGATTAACCCAAACCATTCGTTCTAGTGATTCAGCTAGTCACTTCTAGTTCTGGTAGTACCTTAGAAGATCATTACAGATACGTTTGAAACTAATAAAATATGAAAGTGCTATCTAAGGAACTTTCTCTGCTTAATTCAATATCAGAAAACAGTGTCTTAAGTATCTGTTCATGGCATCTGCGGTACCTCCTGATACTCATCTAAATTAATCTTTGGAGCCTGGGAAAGAGCAACAATATAAAGAAATGAGAAATAGCTAGTTCCATTTAAGGTGGGAAAGTTTGTAAGTATATATGTGCGTGTGTGTGTGTATAACACATTATATGTATGTAAGTTCATATTCTTACACCAATATAAGATCTAGCAATTATTCAGAAAGATGGCAAAACCAGAATCCTCTCAATACTTCTGTACATTCATTGGCTACTTTAAAACACACACATATACACATGCATGTGCACATGCACATACACGGACACACATGCACAAATTTAATTCTCATAAGTCATTATGGTGTGGGATATTCTGATGGAGAAAATTCCTGTTCTTGGGATCCTGAGACATGGTTCCTCAAGGCATAAGATGTCTTCATTGGACAATAAGAATTATTTAACAACAACAAACCAACAAAATCCCCCAAATACTCTAATTAAACAGGAGCCAGGAATACTTTATCTAAAAATTTTAAAAGTAAGGAGAGCTCCAGCACTGTCAGCTGAGCAATATCAGGGACAGAAGGGCACAGGAAGAACTCAGCCTGGATGGAGCAGTCACCATGAAGTGTGATCAAAGGACTGAGGGCACCCTCTGGCCTGTATTCCAGACAGAGGATCTGAGGCCTTGACTTTGGCCTTACCCAATGCTTGATCCTCTCAGGCTGTGAAGGTGTCAAAGAATGCCTAGTGCCTCTAAGCCACATGCTCAGAAGACTTCGAGGGCTTGCCATGCCAACAGTCACCAAATGAGGGTATTGCCTATACATATTATGTTGTTACCACTCATTATTCATGTTTTTGATACATGTTTTTACTTTGTAAAGAGGTCCCTCCAACATTTCCTGTAATACTGGCTTGGTGTTGATAAATTCCTTTAAAATATTTTTGTCTGGGAAGCTCTTTATCTGTCTTTCAACTTTAAATAATAGCTTTGCTGGATAAAGTATTCTTGGTTATAGAACCTGGGTTTTCATCACTTTGAATATTTTGTGCCAAGCCCTTCTTCCTGCAAAGTTTCCTTTGAGACATCAGCTGCCAGTCTTATAGGTTCTCCCTTGTAGGTAACTAATTGCTTTCTCTTGCTGCTTTTAAGGTTCTCTCTCTGTATTTAAACTTTGGCATCTTAATTATGATGTGTCTTGGTGTGGGCCTCTTTGGATTCCTCTTTCTTGAGACACTTAGAGCTTCCTGGGGTTGTATGTCTATTTCCTTTACCAGGTGATGGAAGTTTTCCATTATTATTTCTTCAAATAGCTGTTCAACTTCTTGTTCTCCCTCTTCAGGAACCCTTATTACATGGATATTTTTACCCTTAATTCTGTCCTATAGGCTCCTTAAATTATTATTATATTCTTGGTTACCTTTTTCTTCCCATTCTGATTGAGTGTTTCATCTTCTATATTGGTGGTTCGACCCTCTTCTTCCTCCACAATACTGATTCCCTCTAATATACTCTTCATCTCAGATAATGTGTTCTTCATTTCCGACTGGTTCTCTTTTATAATTTCTATTTCCATTTTTGTTTTTTATCTCTTTAAGTTCTCATCGAATATATCTACACTTTCCCTAAGTTCATTGAGCATCTTTATAACCAATGTTTTGAACTCTGCATCTGTTAGATTGCTTTACTCCATTTTTCCTGGATCTCTGTTCTGTTCTTTCATATGGTCTCTGCTTCTTTGTCTTCCCATTTTGGCTACCTTTCCGTGTCTGTTTACATGTACTAAACAAAGCTCCTAAGTCTCCCCATCTTATTAGAGTGGCTTTATGTAGCAGGTGTCCAGCGGCACAGTCCTGAGAAGGGTTCAGCTGAAGGCCAAGTTTAGACCCAGCCTGTGCCTCTCCAGGGCCACCTGTTAAGATGCAGCAAGCAATCCACAGATACTGTGCTTATAGGTGCCTCGAGAGGCCATGTCAGAAACCGAGACCAGCTGCCACCAGTGTGAGTCTTGGCACTGCTCAGCAAGTGGCACAGGACTCACCGAGGACACAACTGGATGCGGCCTGGGTAGGGCCACAAGTTGAGGGAGGCAAAGTTTCAGGGAATCCTCTGGGCAGAGTGACTTCTGTTATCCAGTGTGATGACATCTCATCTATGGCGGCACTGAGTCTGCACAGTGGGAGAGGGGAGGGCTTAACAGAGGAACAATGGATAACACCATCGCTTCTGCCCAGGAGAAAGCCTTGCCCCTGGCCCTCACTTCAACAATTCAGTGTCCCCCTGTAAATCCCTTGTGCCCCCCAAGCAGCTGACCCAGCGCTGGTGCTCAGAGCAAGCCAGGCTGTCACTGCAACAGTCTACCTGTGGACACAGCCCCTTTAAGAGGCATCTGCAGCTGCCGACTGCCACTGCTGCAGCCTCTGTCCAACTCAGCTGCTTGGGACCTGGCAGGCTTGTGTCTTCGCCACCTCCTACCTCCAACCATTGCAGGGTGATTTCTTATTTCTCTCCCTAGTTGTAGGGCTTCTATTCTTCTAGACCCCAGGTGACTCTGCTTGTTGTTTGCTCTGTGTTTCCATCACAACTTTGATGTGGTCTCAAGAGGGGATGAGCAAAGCTTCTATCATCTATGTCATTTTGTCTGATCTCAAAATTCCACGTGTAACTTTTGACTCCCCCAAAACTTAACTATGAATAGCCTACTGTTGACTGGAAGCCTTACCAATAATATAAACAGTGGATTAACATGTATTTTGCATGTTATACATATTGCATACTGTATTATTAAAACGAAGTAAGGTTTGTTACTATGAGAAAAGAAAATGTTAAGAAAACTATAAGGAAAATATATTTACAGTATTTATTGAAGACATCTGCATATAAGTGCATGTGTGAAGTTCAAACCTGTGTTATTCAAGGGGCAACTGTACTTTCACATATATTAGCTCATCTAGTTCTCACAAAAAAAACCATCATGAAGGTGTTATTTGATCCATTTTATATGAGAGAAATCTAAGGCTCAAAGATTTACAGGATGTGAATTGCCCGAAGTCACACAACCACCAAATAGCAGCACCAGAACTAGAAAGCAGATCTCAGACCCCAGGGCATTACATTCTCACTACATGAGCTACCCTTCTCGATTCCCATCACACCCTTTAGGGAAGAAAGGGCAGGAGGTGTCTAGAGGAATCCTATATCTTTCATCCTCTTCTTATTTGGTTATGATAGTTCACACAGCCATGTGTGGTTCACATGGCCATGACTGGTTCAGAGTCTCCCTTACATTTTCCTCTCCAATATAGAATGTAACAGAGACTAAAGGAGATGACATGCCCTGGTAAAGCCTGTAAGAATATAAGTCTAAGACAGAGCAGGAAGAGAAAGTTTTCTTTCTATGAAAACTCACCTGACATCCCAATTCCTACCATTCTAAGCTTTACATTCCTACTCCTTGGGAAATGCCCTCTTCTCCCACCACTGATAAATTTTAATGTGTGTGTGAGTGGTGGGGGGAAGTTTACCAAAAATGAAGGCTTCTATAGGTGAATTCTTTCTTTGCCAATGTCCTAAAAGCAAACCATAAGTAGTAGCACAAAATCAAAGCTAATTCCAATGATATTTTTTCCAAGTTATAAAATAAGGCCCATCTGCATGACAACTATATGTGCACAGGTTGAAGGGTCTGAATATATCTGTTTATATACCTGCAGGTATATGGTGAAATAGTTATTAAATATTCAAATGACAGCAGGTTTAATCAGAGATGGCAACCATGTAAGAACCAACTATTTAAGTGCCTTTATAATGACTATTTTAAAGGAAAGAGATTAAACTAATAGGTGATAACCTGAAAGACTAGCAATTCAAAAACAGCTCAAATAGGTAACTGGTAAATCCTTTTATTTTTCTTCTAAGAAAGCTCTGAAAAAACTAAGGTGTTTTTTAGTCATCAGAGTGGCTTTCACAACCAAGGATTTGGTTTCATTTGAAAGCAACCATGACCTGATTAAACATTAAGATTAGTTATTTAAAATGCCAAATTTTTCATCATCCATTTGATCTGAAGATGACTTCACAAATTCTTCATCTAGATAAAATGATAACATTATTTATACCCATAAAATCACCTACTGTCTGTTACGTGTCAAGAGCCGACATACAGATTCAGATGATTTTGGCAACCCCATAGATTAGTCAGAAAAGGGATATATTTTTTTGTACAGAAAACCTAAATCTAGAGGGAGTGTAGCATAGAGGAACACCCTGGGCCCTGAGATCAGACAGGCAGGTCATAACCTTGACTCAGTCCCACATTATCTATGTAACCTCACACACATAACTTAATCATTCTAAGCCCAGGTTCATCATCAGGAAAATGCAGGATACCCTCTACATGTCTGGGAGTACACAAATGTAAGTTGGGCTAGTGTGCAGAAACAGCCTCCTGTTCCTCAAGCATCATGGGGAATGGACTTATGTTCCATCCCTCCTCCCCTGAAGGTGATACAGTAAGGACGTGTCATTTGAGCTCTGAAAGGGAAGAATGGCTTGACTCTGACTTGCAGTCTTGACTCTCTTCTGCAAGGTGGAGTATTGCTCTTGCTTTTATAGTCTCCATGCTGTGAGCAAGAGAGACAGCCTTTCGCAGGCCAAACAATTTCTAAGATCTCTCCATTTCAGCCTCCCTAACTGTGACTATGGCCAACCTGACAGCTAAAGGACATCTGTCTTCAGTTCATGATGTGTAGTAAGGAGTCCCATTACTAAGGGCTAAGCTACGCCATCCAATATGTGTTACCAGAGACTTTGGGTCATAAGTAGATCATTCAATTGTCAGTTAACACTTTGTGTCTGTTTATCAATGAGTTGGAAACCTGGGGGAGTAGGGGTATAAGATAATTTTCTACTAGCCTCACATTCTTACAGTTTCTTTGATTAGAAATAATGTATGTAAAAACAGAAATAAAGAATACATGTAACATTCCTAATACATATCAGATGCTCCATAAAGAGTAACTATATTTATGTTCATTAGAAATAGTTTTAAAACCTTCTGAAAACTTCAGAGTTGCTTTGACAGAAGAACCAACCTGATAGGCAGGCATCCCCTCATAAAATGAGTTGGTAGTGTGCCCTCCTCTATGTTCTAAAAGAGTCTGTATAGGACTGGTATTATCTCTTCCTTAAATGCTAGATAACATTCACCAGTGAAGCTTTCTGGGCTTGTGGAAAGGTTTTAAATTATGAACTCAATTTCTTAATACAGGGCTGTTCAAGTTTTCTATCTCTTCTCGGGACAGTTTTGGTAATTTGTGTCTTTTAAGGAATTTGTCCATTTCACCTGGGTTGTCAAATGTCTTGCCACAAAGTTATTTGTGGTATCCCCTTATTGTCCTTTTAATGTCTGAAGGGCCTGTAGTGATGTCCTCTCTTTCATTTCTGATATAAGTAATTTGTTTCTTTCCTTTTTTCTTGATTAATCTATCAATTTGGAAGGCATTCTCTAGTTCCTAAGGATGTTATTGAGTTTTATTGGCAGTCAAAATCTCTCTTCTCTAGGTTCACTGAAAAAGTTTCCTTTAGTCCCCATCCAGAAAGTCAGCTGAAACAAGTTCCTTGGCTTGAGGGAGGAAGGCCTTTCAGGAGACTAAGTTTTCACAGAATACTCCCACAATGGGAGAGGAAAGGAGCCACTAACACTACTTATAAAGGTATTTGGTATTTTAAATAACTATGGGTTTAGGCTCCACCTTGCTACTGAGCACAATGACCGTCAATAATAAGAGCTGATTTTTAAAACTTTTTTATTTTGGAGTAATTGTAAATTCATGGAAGTTGCAAAGGTCTTATGTACCTTAACCCAGTTTCCTCCACTGGTTATAACTGTAGCACAATATCAAAATCAGGAAAATGACATTGGTACAATATATGTGAATAGTTCTAATCATTGTATTGCCTGTGTAGATTTGTGTAACCACCACTGCAATCAAGATACAGAACTGTTCCATCACCACGAAGATTTCCCTCCTGCTACCCCTTTATAGTCATACCCACCTGCCTCCCTCCACCATTCCTAACCCCTGGCAACCACTAATCTGTTCTCCATCTCTATAATTTTCTCATTTCTAGAATGCTATATAAAAATATCATAGAATATGTCACCTTTTGAGTTTGGATTTTTTCCACTCAGCATAAGGCCTTTGAGAGCAATCCAGATTGTTATGTGTACCAATAGTTTGGTTTTTTGTTTTTTTTTTTTTTCATTTTATTGGTGAGTAGTATTCCATGGTATGTATACTCATTTAACCTTTTATCTATTGTAGGACATTTTGATTGTTTTCCAGTTTTTGGCTATTACAAATAAAGTTGCTATGAATAATCACTACAGGTTTTTTGTGAACATTTCTCTGGAATAAATCTTCAGGAATAAAATTGCTTGGTCATATGTTAACTTCAACTTTAGTTTTATAAGGAACTGAAAAACTGTTTTCCAGAGTGGCTATGCCATTTTACATTCCCACTGGCAATGTATGAGAGTTCCAGATTTTAATACAGAAATGCATCACTGATGATGAGTCAACTATAGTTTCTGAATCGGTACAGAACACAGTAATAAGCAATCTGGGAGAAGGAAAAAGCTAGAAAATTATGCAGGTAAATTAGCACAGAGATTCCCATGCTTTAAGAAATACTGGCAAAAATCTCTTACCTTCTTTAAACTGTATCCAGCATGGAAAATAATTGGAGGGAGCAGAATGTTGAAAAAGACCTCTGGATCAAATGTTACCTAAAATTTTAAAAAGAAAAAAGCTAATTTTTAGTTTAATACTAATTGGTGCTATAATATTTGCTTAATATTTTAAGCCATTGTCTAAAGTCTGAATATTTAAAGCAAATTACATAAATGTGAACTCATCACAGGACAGAAGCCACAGCTCCCCTGTGGACTGGCATGTTCTTCTCCACAAAGCACTTCTGACCCTTGCCCTTGGTGTGCTGTTTAATATATATTAAGACACAAGAGTTCAACACAATGTTGATAACTCACAAAAAGCTTCTGATCAATGATTTTAAACAAGAAATAAAAACATACTGATTTTTTTATTCAAATCTTTATAAAGGCTCAATTGCAATAAAAGATGCAGTCATGATTCTTTATTAATTTTCTGGATCCCCCCACAGAATCATTTAATAGACATAATGCTCTACCAAAGGTAAGCCTCTTTTAAGTAGCCAGCCTTTTGTGATACATAATGCTAGTGGCTTCCTAAACATCAACATAAATTCAGCAGCTCCAAGAGGATTAAAATTATCTGTAAGTTTGATATAGGGAAATCAATCTGAAACCATTAGACAGCAAAGTCTTTTTACACCCAGAAAAGAATTAAGTATCCTATAAAACTCCTAATCTTTTTAAAGAATTTGTTCGTGTTGGTAGATTAATTGGCTCTTAATTCAATTATTTTAAATCTTCATTCTAATTATTAAAAGTAAAGCCAGCATTTCTCTTTAGAAACTGGAAATGTTAATCGGCCTAATTAAAAGTAGAATGGTTCTCTCAAAATTATATTTTATTCTATTTTCTTGCTGAAGATAAGAGTAGTCTGAAAAGCAGGAAATGTCATGATGAGAACAGACCCTGGACAATACTTGTACAGTATGAGGACACTGGAGCCAAAGAGAGTGAGACTCTGGAAGTCATCAAACCCAGTAATGTATGAACCAGCACAAGAGTTTCCTGACACTCACTCCAATACTCTTTGCAACCAAGCTGCCTCAACATGCTTCTTTACCTCTCAATGAATGACAATAATCTCAGTCTGTGTTCTCCCACCTTTGCTTTGTACTGCAAAAGTTTAAACAGAAGGTATTTGAATAAATATTTTCTAAAGAGAATGAAAGACAGCTTCATCTTCTATTATGATCTAAAAGATGGAAATGAGTTAGAGTCTTTTCCCTTTTTCCTCTATCCTATCCAATATAAAGGACTCACATGGCCATTTCAAAACAGTCATTATAATGGTATTTACACTGGGCATCTTTCTCAGTTGGATATAGTTCCACAAATGTTTATGGAAATCTCATGCATTCTTATGAAAGGTTGAAAGCAAAGAGCTCACTAGGACTGCCATTAAGGACACAGAGTAGGCAGGCATGTTGAACACTCAAAGTGGAGAATAATTTTCTTTAAGGATCAGGGTAGATCCTGAGAACAATAATAATTTAATTTTTGGAACACAGGCTACACTCTGTCTTTGACTGCAAGCTTTCACATACATTAGCTTTGTTCCATATTAAAAGGGGCTCCCACAACTTGGATCCCCTAGACCTTATACAGAAGCCTTCCTGCAGATAAGCCCAAGACTATAAGGCAATAGAATGTATGAGGATACATATAGGCATACCTCGGAGATATTGCAAGTTTGGTTCCAGACCACTACAATGAGTATTGCAATAAAGCAAGTTATAATCTTTTTGCAGGTGGAGAGTCCTGCCTTTGATTTGTTAAAAATACAACACCTGCAAAGCTCAATAAAGTGAAGCACAATAAAACAAGGTATGCCTGTACAGATCTCTTTCTTATCCTGGAAATCACCAGAATGAGGAGATATATAGTCCTTTTTGCTGTGGAGAAAGGACTACTCCTAACATCAAAAGAAAACCAATGTTTAGACTCAAATTCTAAGACAACAAGACATTCTCCCTCCAAAGAATCATTAAGCCTTTGGCATCAATCACCAATGAGAGTGAGCACTTGATAAATATTCATAGAATATGGCAAAAGAATCATGAAGAACTAAGAATTATACTTCTGAACACTGAATAAACAAGCTAAAAGTGAAATCGACCTTAAGAAAGAAACAAACTCATTTCTAAACCATAACAAGAGACGTAGTAAAGAAAAGCTGGCGGTTGGAGAGATGAGCCGAGTGGGGATGTACAAACCCACTGCACCATCGGTGGCCCACATCATCTACTGATCCTAGCAAAAATGAAAGGATCAAGTTCAAATCTGGTTCCTTCTTCTCCTCAACATAACCCAAAAGTTTCCTAGAAAAACAGAGCCAGCAATGCTACCGATGCTCGAGGAGTTTGAAAGGATTTCTCTCCACAAGGTCAAGACCAAATTGGAAAATCAAAAAACCATGTCAGAACAACAAAGGCTGAGAGCCCCCAGCTCACCTTCCTCAGCATATCATTCTGCTCTACACTGTTGATCTTGCCAGGGCTGATTTCTCCTTTCAGGGTATATTCGAAGAACTTCCCACTGACATTAACTAATAAGGTGCTGAAGGCCCTGTCTTCCTGAGTGCAGCTGAGTGACTTGTCATGGCCACTGGTGGCAGGGGTGCCGTACCTCAGAATCACCCCGACGATTAGCCCTGAAACAGAATGGGAGAAAAAGTATCAGGCCTGTGGAAGGACAGAGAGCACAAAAATAATGGTATGGATGATTTGCAACAACTAAGAAACTCAAAAGTAACCTTAGAGCCCAGGTGAAGCACGTATGTTTTAGGAGCAAACTGCACAGTCCTTCAAAAGGGTTAAGCACTCATCTACTCTGGTTTAAGTCCCCCAGCCACCAGGAGGATAAGATAGGACAGTACCTTTTATGGTTATTATGGCACTGAGTACTTTTAACAACTGATAACATCACATTTCTCAGGCTTTTGGTGAAGGAAGATGGGATAAGAGACAGTTTTTTTTTCCTGCCAAGGACAGCACAAAGCAGAACATTTGAGCTCTTTGATTTGCGCCAACAGCAGCCCTCAGACCAGTTCTGCTGCTACTTGCCAACAAGGACCAGGCCGCGAGAATTTCTAGTTGCTACAAATGCAATTTGCTTTGCCACATACCAGAGGAAGGGAGGAAAAGAAATGCTTTTGTTTAGGTCATTTCAAGAACTGGATATCATGGAGAAAGTAATTACGTCCCTTGAGGGGCTAAACACCACAGTGCACATTTTGTAGTCATGATTCAAGGACTGTGGAGCTGGCTCCTTGGGCCCATGGCTATGATATAGCTAAAATTATTAGCTGTAAGTCTTTAAGTCTCATTCCTTCTTAGTAGGGTTTTCCCATTAGGAACCACCCCCCAACAAAGTCATTTATAAGCATTCAATTCCATGAGCGAAGAAGGAATGTTGCTCCCCTGATCCTGGACATGAGTCACACATGCCCAAGTAAAAGTCATTGAAATGTGGAAAAAAAAAAAAAACATAAAATAACCACCACTTTCTATACTTCTCTCTTAGGAAGAAAGTTTGAGATTTCTCTCTATATTCAGTTCTTTACTAGCAATAGTAAAAGATAGAATGGTAAAATGTTCCTCCATCCCATTTTGCCATTTACAGAGAAAGTTACATGAGAAAATGAATGAACAATATTTACTATATTCTGTGTATATGCTCTATACTGTCTCTTATCACCAAGACATATGAGAACTCACAAAACATTGCTAAAGAACAAATAATATATAAAATCTAGGAAAAACTTAGAGTTCTTTAAGTCAAACTCTGCCTCTGTAGTGCTTTATCACTACTATTATTAAACTTGTATTAATATATATTTGCAGTTTGCTGATTTCTGTGAAAAAATCAAGTTGTAAAATTTTATTACAAATTAAAAATGAGGTTCTTGATAACACCAAGTTGACCTGATATTAAACACTTTTCAAACCTTTAAAGGTGTATGAAAAACACCAGACTTCAAAAAACACATTGGTTATTACTAAAAAGATGTATCTTTAGAGAAAAATAATAAAAACCCCATAATGGAGATAGTTCTAATTTTCTGACTAATGGACACAAAGCAAACACTTGAGGTCTTTAGCAACAATCTTTTGTTCAGGTCTTATTGCTGAAATTTCATATTCATTTCTTTGTTAGGTGACTAATCCAGATGATGGTAGAGATTGTAATTCCTTACTTACTCAGCCTCTTCCTGCTCAGCCTCAGAGGTGACTTAGTCATCTTGTGGTTTAGGGTTTTCTGGGAGTCTATGTTGGTAACTGAAGTTCTGGGGGCACCTATGTTGAGGTGGCTGCTGACCTTGGGTCTCTTCCTTGATTTTCCTCATCCTCTTCATCGATGTCCTATGAGGAAGGGCCCTGAGTCATGGTCTATAACCACAATAGGTGATCTGTCTCCCTGGTCAACCTTGTTCTCCTTCACCCTGGTCATCAGGAAATACTCATAGCTTTTCTCTGCACAGGATTGGAATACTCTGGATAACATCCATAAGGTTTCCACGTGGGGTAAGTTGTGCATGCTGTTGGGCCTGGCATTCAGGGGCACTCTACAATCCCTCTTTCTTTCCCCCATTCTTTTTATTAAAATAAGTTTGCTGGTAAACACACGGTGGACCTCCATAACGTCAATAATGTCTACAATGGTTATACTCTCTCTGCTGCTTATTTACTGCCTGGCACTAGAAATCCACAAAGGCCTGCAACATTTGCTGCCTCTTCACCCTTTTCTCCTTTAATGACATTGAATTCTATAGTTTCTCTACCTCCTATACCGGGAAGGTGCTTCCTGGAGGTTACTCTACGTATGGCAGGCTGGTGTACAAATGCATATTATTTGGTGTCATTTCTGTGGATGAAAACATGTTTCTTACACTGAACCATTTTACTTATTTCCCCGAACCTTCACTGCGATGACCAGGGGGCTGCCACTGCCTCCACCTCTACCCATGGAGCCACATTGAGTAGTTACAGCATTGTGGAAGTATGTCAGGAATCCACTGGGTCTCAGCCCTACTCTTCATGGTTGTAGTGATAGAGATGGTGACAGAGGCTGGCTGTGGCAGCCATGGCTCCTTCCAAGCTCTGATGGTAATTGTTGCTGGTAGCAAGACAGCTGCTAAGGGCTCTCAGGAGTTTGCTCTCCACTCCAGATCAAATTTAATAGTTTTTTTTTATTTCACTCCTTAGTTAGGCATGTGGATGAAAAAGGGGTCCTATGAAAAGTAACCTCACAGGGTAATTTGATCATAAATTCCTTACCAGGCAGGTCATGGTAGGTAGCCATGCCCCGGGCATGTACCTTCTTTAGTAAAAAGCTTATCTTTGCCTTAAGTAAGCCCTGTCCATCGTTTCTGCATATCTAGGTTAACACATCTTTTTAAATGCCCCTTTTAGACCCTCTTTCTAAAGCATGACCATCATTTAGAGAGCACTTAATATTAACTATCCTGTAATCAGACCCACACCTTGCTGTCTCCCAACTTTTTGTAATATTACTTAGTTCCCTCCTTAATTCCACATGCATAAAAGAAGCTACAAACTGTCATTTCTTGGAAGCATTTTTCTTCAGAGAATTTGAGATTTTGCTTCCAGGCAACTGTCCTCAGTTTTGGCTCAAATAAACTCCTATAAAAATTCTCAACAGGTTTGGACATTTCTTACATTGACATTTACTCAGTACGATCGGGAGGATTCTGAAGAAGCCCACCAGGGCCACTCTATGGACTCAGACCCGATGCTAGGTACAAGCAAGTACCCATTGTGCCCCACTGGCAACCCACTTCACATCGGGTGAACTGGGGTGAGTTCACTTTCAGAATCCTGGGCTTCCTTGCTTTAACTAGCAGGCCATGACTTTATTTGAACTGTTCTTAGAAAATCCTAAAGGTGGGTATGGGTTGAGATACCCCAGGAAAAAGAAAAAACAATGGGTTGCTGCTTTTAATTTTGGCTTTTTATTGGATTGCTCACTGAGACTCTGAACAAAATCTTTGCGGGTTAAATGAGAGACTGAACTCTCTTTAGCTCCAAAAGAGAAAGGACGCTTGCTTGCCCAACCCGAATAACCAATGGGGTCATAACAGTTGTTGCGGATCCCCAAATCCTACAGAGTAGTGGAGATGGTCACCAGGAGCCATCTAATGCAGTAATGAAACCAATCCTGGAGAAGCCAGTGGGAGCCCTGAGAAGGGCAGGGTGCCCTAGAATGAGTTCACTCCAAGAAAAAGGGGCCCAAGAGAGGGGCCAGTATCTTTGAAACAAGTTCTAGCACCATCTGGTAGGTTCTCATTGGCCTTCGCTCAGGTATTCTTAGGTGACTGAGATCTTTGTGAAGTTGCCTGTGGAAAAATTTCTTCTAGGGTTTAAAGTGGTCCTATAGGGATGTCCATGGCATTTGGCTTTTGGCTTGTCTGAAGATGTACATAAAAGCTGGTCTTTCCTATAAGTTTGTTCAGACTCTACAGATCTCAAAATTAACATTGGAAATCATGTCTCCCAGGCTGGAAAAGCCCATGACAGTCAGTCTCCCATTAATACTAAGATAACCGAGATGAACACTCTTTGATACTTCTAAATTATTCTTTTGTATGCACGATTAGAAAAAAGTCAGCTATAAAATTAGGCAAAACAATGAAAAGCATATTTAATTGACCTCTCCAAGCTTCAAAAAGAGGATTTAGATAAATGGATCAACCTATTATGATATCATTTAGTTGTCAACCTAATTCTTTGAGGTATTAAAAATGGCTGTCCTTATTTTAAAAGGGAAAATTTGGAATTTGACAAGTCAATGACAGATGTAAATTGTAAATGCCTCAAACAAAATTTGAATCCAACTGTTCTTTTATAAACTAGTGAGTTTTTCTTGTGGCTGAAAGGTCCCCATTTGTGTCTGTCTGTGTGTATCTATATATGTATGTTGTAAATGTGAAATAATTTTTTACCTATGATGGTATTGTTAAAATTAATTTAAAGGCAAGCACTTTTAAAGATTGAATATTCTAAAATTCTCAGAAATATAGAAACTAACTTAAATGCTTTCCAAGTTCACATAATCTAAGATTAGTCCTTAGTAAATAAAAGTTTAAGTTTGCTGATTTAAGTAGAACAGATATGTCTTTCAAGTTATTGATATTAAATATAATATTTATATTTTACCCAGGTTTACAAAAATAAGTCCATGTTAATAATTGACTTTGACATCTATAAAATATGTTTTTAGAGGTTGTAAAATGTCTTCATAAATTTGCCAAGCGAAATAATGTTAATTGCTTACTTCTTAGTTTTCATTAGAAATTTAGGTTTTAAGAGTTAAAATCTAAATATACGTAGGACTAACTCTGTAATATTCCAGAAGGGCCCCTAGAATACCTCAAAAGATGTGAGGTTTTTATGTTATATTGTAGTGTAAAATAAGTGATGAAAAATATTCTAGGGGATACTGTATGGGTAAACAATAGTTGCAAATTAAACAAATAGTCAAGGCTATGGGAAACTCAAGACAGCCAATTGGGTCTCCCAAGCTCCCTGGCAAACCCAATTTTTTTTTTTCAGTTTTAACATTTCATGCATGACAGTGCATTTAAGCTGGACTTAAATAGATGGACTTATGAACTGACACTGAAAGGAGACA